TCTATGTTGGCACTCTGTTTCTTATTTCTTGTAGAGCTCAAGGGGGCTGCTAAATCCATTGTTGAAACTAGGAGTGTAAATGAGCTAAGTCGAACCCAAATTCGAGTTCTTAACAAGCTGAGCTCGGCTCACATTAACAAGCTGAGCTCAAACTATAAATACCCGAACTACAGAAAATTATATAGAAAATTATTTTTTCAGCCTTATCGAGACGAGCCAAGCCAAGCTCACGAGCGCCTAACGGCTCTAGCTGAAACAAGATCAGGTTTATCAAATACATTATCAAGGCCTTATTCTTCCCTTTCTCATTTGCTGACTCAGTAAATTGTAGTTTCTTTTTAATGTTGAATATCTCTAACCTTTATTAGTAGCTGCCCGAGTGACCCAGAACGCACAAACATTCATACAAATATACCAAGGAGGAAGCATGAAGAGAAATTACAACAACCATGTGAAACTAGCAAGCTAGCGGAGTTGTTTCTTACCATGATTTGTTAGTTCGTGTACAAATCCTTTCTGGATTGTCCAATGAGGAAAAAAATGAAGGATAAAAAGAGCTTGGTGAATATAGCAGCATTAGAGCTGATAAACTCAAATATCTGCTTGTGGGTTGAGCCCTATTAAGTTCATCTCGAACTCAACTCGTTTGACTCAATAATAGAGCTTTCAAGTAATTTCCTTCACTCTCAGCCCAACTCAGCTCGTCCAAGCTTGAATTGGACTCATAAATATTAATAAACGAGAGAGCTTAATTTGACTCATAAATATTGATAAACGAGCCGAGCTTAAGTATTGGAAGTTTGACCTCAGTTTGGCAAGTTTACAGCCTTTGTTGTGTCTAACAGACTTCACCGATCACATTTTCCAGATAACATTCAAAAATCAAAACTAAAAAGTTCTCTCCAGCAATCATATTTTGCAGACAACATTCAAAACTCAGAACCTTTACTACTCTGATTCCCTGGGAAGAATTTGGGAGCTTCTCTTCTCTTTTCTTCTCTTTTTTTCTAAATAAAAAATTAATATTAATACTGACGTGATTACTAATTAGAATGGTGATCCATATAAATCTCCCCACCCTTCAAATTGTCACTTTTCCTGGGACTCAAAAAGTCATAAACAACTCAATAAACTCATGTTTAAACACAAAGTTAAACCCCCTTCCATAAATTATGTGCATATTAAGGAAATAAAACACAAGACCCACCTCAAAGAAAATGTCGTACAACAAGAATGTTCAAGGATTTAGTCAACAAAGTGATTGCAGATGGTTTGCAACAACTAACCATGTGTATCGCATCCTTTCTTCATTTATTCGAAAAGGCACGGAGACCTATGGCACGTCACAAAATTGAAAAGATCCAACACGGAGACCTATGGCACGTCAGACGGCTCAATACAAAATATCATTCCAGGATACTGAAGCATGTGTTAACACAATGATGATTTTGTGCAAAGACATGAACAATTTCGTTATATGTACTATGAAAAGACATACAGTTATGTTTCTAGATAGCAAAGTCAGTTATGTATATGTTTCTTTCAAACATAATTAACTATCTGATTGCATCAGGAATTTGTCTATGCGCTGCAGAATCTATGTGTGCATAATCATATCCACATTACTCCTGAAAGGCGTGTGTTTATGTATCCAAACTCATTAACCCAACAGGACAAACTTTCAGTTGGATATTTCTCTAAGGTGGTAGGGATGAGAAATAAAAATAAATAAATAAATAAACAACTAAAGTCTCCACACAAGGATGGTTGTACTTGAACCAATTTTAAGAACTCAATTCATTCATAGAAATCTGACAAAAAGAAGAACTAAAAATAAAAACACCCAACCAATAGCTGACCATTTATCACTATGATAAAAGGAACAACACGATTCAAACTACAAACGTTCCATTCAAAGAAATTCCATCATTCTTATGAATAAAAGGTAGAACCCGCAAAACAGACTGCCAGTCAATCCAGATAGCAAGGGAAAAATTCATTTGCATAAACTCTCAGTTTATATTCTGATAATCCACCTTGCAAGTAAATGGAAAAAGGTAACACTGCACTTTCTGAAGAAAATATAAATGACTCTAAAACATGTAACCGAGCCTACCTCCAGTTGCAGGCTCGTGTCAAGAAGACCAAATTCAACACTGTAAGATAGCTTAACAAAAGATGGAGCTTATTTTAATATAGAAGCTCTTAGACTCGAGGCAAACCCACTAAAGCAAACAATGTACTTGAGTGTATAAAATGAAAAGATATAGAGCCCCAAAAGCATTTTATTGAAAAGCAATACATATAAGATCAAAATACGGATTACAGACAGCAGTTTATCTACAAATATGGTACCTGCACACAGATAAGAACTCGTGCACCAAATAATCATACCTCGCCCTAGATCACAACTCTAAAAACCGACAACAAATAATCACAGAGTCAGTCAAGAAACTCAAACTCATTTTCCCTCAAATGTGCAGTGAATTTCACCGGCTTACCATCCCGCCCCAAGACGTCGTCCAACACGAACTCCACCTTGTAGGGCAAGTTAGCTGATATCTTCTTCCCCTTGTAAACCCCAACATACTGCCTCAACACGCCGGTCCTGCCCATCAGATCGAGCTCCGGCGCCTTGGGCACGTGGTACACCTTTAGCGGCACCTTGACCCGAACTTGCGACCCTAACTTGGATTCGGCCACTTTCAGCTCGTCGTCGTTGATGCTGCCATGGTCGAGGGTCAGTGAATTGGTGACCGTGGCCGAACCGCATCGAGCGGACAATGACGAGGGAGAGTTATCGGCGGTGGAGATTGGAGCTGGAAATTGTTTCTTTCTGATCGAAAATCTGGCGGCCAAATCAGGGTTTGAGAATTTGGAATTGGGAATGTTGAGAATTGAAGAGAAGAAGTGCGGCGAGGAGGCCATGGTTACCCACCTTTTTGCTCTGCGTAGTATGGAAGAATATGTGTGTGGGGGGTTTTATGATAAAAGATATTTTGTGTGGTGACTGGTGAGAGATAAAATTTGTCTGGAAAATGAGAGTTCGTTCGTTTG